GTAGTAGTAGTAGTAGTAGTAGTAGTCGTCTTTGTTCCAGATGATTGTAGAAGTGAAGCAGTGTGGAGTTTAAAAACACGGTGGAGCTCTCGTCCGCTGTATAAATGTGCAGAGTTTATAAATGTTTGAGTTCATTCAAACAAAAACCCGAGTCCAGTTTGTCTTTGTGTTTGTTTGTTTGGTTTTTTTTTGGGAGGAAACAACATCAGAACAAAATCATCTTTAAAAAAAAATAAAAATGACGTAAATCCGTAAATCATTAAAAATCATAATTCACGTGAAAAAAAACCTGGAGTCGGAGTTAAAACAGATTCTTTTGTGTTGGAGTTACGAGTTTGGGCGGATGTTTAATGTACATTCCTTTACGTTGAGACAAGCCGACGGGATCACGTGTCGGGCTTTTCTCACAGATACTCGCAGGGAACTAAAGCCGCATTATGTCACTTTTCTGCTGGAGTCCACGGAGTTTACGGTTTTCCCTTATTTGCTTAAACATTTCTATCGCCACGGAGACCGAGTCAGACAGAGCTCCAGGTCAAATCTGAGGTTTTTCTTGGTGTTTTTGAGCTCTAAAATCATCTGAAATGGAGTAAAAGTAAAAGTAGAGCAGTTTAAAGTCACACTGCGGAACATTTATTCACAAAAAAGCGCAAAATTGAAGTTAAAATTGAAGTTTTATTGAAGTTTAAACAGGGCGTATCAATAATATACAGAATCTGTGTGACATTTGTTGATTTGTTTTTCAAAATAAAACAAAAAAAAACTGTTTTCTTTGTTATTTGTCTCCAAAACCAAAATGAAAAAACAGATAATGGACTAAACCAGGTCTAAACCAGGACTAGACCAGGACTAGGCCAGGACTAGACTAGGACTAAACCAGGTCCGGGACCAGTCCAGAACCAGACCAGGACTGAAACCAGGACTTAGACTGGGACAAAATAAGGACTGAGTCTGGGACCAGACCGGGAACAGGACCAGGACTGAGACCAGGACTGAAAACGGTCCTGGTCCAGTCCTGGTTCAGACCTCATTTAGTCCTGGTCCAGTCCTGGTCCAGTCCTGGTCCAGTCCTCATTTAGACCTGGTTTAGTCCATTATCCGTTTTTTTTCCATTTTTCATTTAAACACCAAATCAAAAACTGAAAAAAATGAATCATTATCTGTTTTTTTCATTTTGGTTTTGGAGACAAATAATGAAGAAAATTTTAGTTTTTTTTCATTTATTTTCTTATTTTTAGTTTTATTTTGAAAAACAAATGACCAAACGGCACAGATTCTGTACTTTCCTTTTACACTGACAGAAGCTTTTGCGATCACTTCTTTCGTGTTTCTTTGTTAAAGTTACACTGCGTAACTTTCCAGTCCCGTCACCTGCTTCTTGTTTCTATGGACACGCCTTTGCTCTGCCTGGAATGTCCCGCAGTGTGACTTTAAACAGCTCTACTTTACACGTTTTAATCGCTCAAAAACACCTCAAAAAACGTCGATTCTGACTGTGAGCGGCGTCGCCTCTTCGCAGATCTGACCTGTAACTCTGTCCGGTTTGGTCGCCGTGGAGATAGAAAAGCGTCCGGCGCACCCTCCGCTAGAAAAGTTACACAATGCGGCTTTACTTCCTTTTAAATGAACGTTATTCGCGGAGCTCGGTCGTGTTTGAAACGCCAAACCCCGATTGGTCGGTTGATTTTAAACGACGTCGTCCTGTGTGTTCGTTTTTACGGGTCGTGTTCTGGACGTCGTTTGGCGAAGTCATTGGGTTTCGGGCAGATCCTCGTTTCACATCTCGCCTGTTTACCGCCGTCGCCGCCGCCGGTCGTAAAATAAGATAAGATAAGATAAGGTTTATGTATCGAAAGTGACGACAAAGTACAAGACTCAGAAAGCCTCAAGAATCAATTTGAAAGTCTGGTAACACTTTATAATAACAACACCTTATTTAGCCTTAATAAAGCATGAACAAAGGCTTAATTAATAATGAACAAAGACTTAATTCATAATGATTCACACTTAGTAACTACTTAATTACTACCTTAATTAGCACTTGCACTTAATTTGCCTGTGCTGTAAATAGTTACTCATAATTATTTCATACTTAATTACTCATGAACTAACCATTTATTAATCATTAATAAACTATGAGAGAATGATTTACTAATAACACAATGTTAATTCAGGCAGCTGTTATCTGTTAGTTAAGTCTTTTTGAGAGATTTTCTAAAGTGAAGACGAATTATCCTTTATTAAGCATTTACTAAGCACGAATCATTATTAATTAAATCTTTGTTCATTATTAATTAAATCTTTGTTCATGCTTTATTAAGGCTAAGTAAGGTGTAGTTATTATAAAGTGTTACCGAAAGTTTTGTGTAAATTATCAACAACAAAGCCTTTTGTTTTTGAGAGAAATGTTAAATAAAAGCATCGTGGAAGTAAAAAAATAATCATTTGAATAATCGTGATTTCAGTATCGACCAAAATAATCGAGCAGCTGTAATTTTAACGTCTTAACGCCTGAATTTATAAAGACACAGTGTATAAAAATAAATGTTTAGTGTGTTTTTGCCTTTACGTTGAGGGTAAACTGTTCTCCTCGGGGTCACACTGACCCAAAGAAAAAATGTTTTTCCTTCCCGCTCTCTGGGGGCGGGTCAATCAAACCTAAAACTTTATTTTCTCACTTGGCAAGAATTTATTTGAAAATACATTTTTGGGTCTGATTGACCCGCCCCCAGAGAGCGGGAAGGAAAAACATTTTTTCTTTGGGTCAATGTGACCCCGAGGAGAACGTGAGGGTCAAATTGAGATTATTTATTTGACATTTGAAATTTGGGTATTTTGCAAATTTGCGACAACTACAAGCGCTGGGGGAATTTAACCCACAATCTCCAAATATATATCGAGATCCAAACGGTTTGTCGCACATTTGTGACGGTCGACGTTAAAGGGATGAACTTTGGAGACATAAAAAAATAATAATAATAATAAATAAATAAATAAAAATAAACCAAAACACAACTTCAGGTCTGTTTCTGAGGTGAAAACAACATTAAAACACGACTTAAACCTCACAAGAGTCTGTGAAATCATTCTGTAAGAACTTTCGTTATTTCATTATTAAACTTTCGTTTAACTCAAAATCAGAAACTGGGACAAAAAAAACGAGATTTTGTTTGTTTTTACGTCAAAATGGAGTCTGTATTTTACTTTTTTGAGTTCAAACCAAAACAAAGTAGACACACAAAGAGGAATGGACACGCAGAGACGAGAGCAAATAATTGTTTGTTTGTTTGTTTTTTGAAATGCACAGGTGACAGGTAAGTTCAGACAAAGAAACAGGGAAAAAAATGAAACAAAACACAACTCCAGGTTTGTTTTTGAGGAGGAAACAACATTAAAACACGACTTAAACCTCACAAGAGTCTGTGAAATCATTCTGTAATAACTCATTTATCTCCTTTAACACGTACATTTACGTAAAGTTATGATTTTTCATTTGAACCGTTTTAATTTAAAGTGATAATAGTCGAGCTTCCACGGTTTAATCGGTTCTGACACATTAAACCGATCAGATCAGAACACGCGGGATTTCCCCACATGCAAAACCACTCGGCCATTTAAATCGGTTTGGTAACTGCAGCAGCCAATCAGAAACCGGGACAAAAAAACGGGATTTTATTCGTTTTTTGCGCCAAAATAGAGTCTGTATTTTATTTTTTGAGTTAAAATCAAAGCACAACGTGACAAGTCAAGAGGAATGGACACACAGAGACACGTTAAAGCAGATCATTGTATTTTGTTTTTTTGTTTGTTTTTTTTTTTTTTTAACCACGCGCAGGTGTCAGGTACGGTCAGACAAAGAAAAGGGCAAAGCGGCGGTTTCCGTGCTGCGGACGCCGGCGCGCGCGTACACGTACACGGTTAATTGGGTCTTACCTTGAGCCGTGGAGCTTCCCGCCAGCAGCGAGGCGATGAGCAGCAGCCACAGGTATGACATCATGGGAACACGGTGTACCGGGTGCGGGCGAGGGGGCGAGCCGCGCGGAGGTGTCCGGGAGGCGGGTCGGTGTCGGCGGTGCTGCGGCGGAGGTGTCCCGGTGAGGTGTGGGGCTCTGCGGGGCTCTGCGGGCTGCCGGTGCGTGCGTGGCTCGGTGCGTGGCTTGGTGCGTGCCGTGCGTGGGTAGGTCGGGGCTGGTCGGGGCTCGTGCGCTGCGCTGTGCCGCGGACGGTCCGGAGCTCGGTCTGGATTGAAGGAGGCGCGCGCGCGGGGCTTTATTAACGGGGGCGGGACCGGTGAGGAGCGCGTGGGGCTGGGGCACGCGCCTCACTCACGGGCAGAGGTGGGAGAGTAAGAGTAAGAGTAACGATACTTCACAATAATGTTACTCGAGTACAAGCGCCGAGGAGTGAACAAGAAATGACCAGAGTAACAAAGTACGTTACAAAATACACTTTAAAACAAGTATTTAGTGTTTTTAAGTAAAAACATTTACACAAAACCGGTGATTATTCTCAGTTTTACACAAGAAATGTCCCAGTGTCTCTATTTTTAATCCATTTTATCCCTGACAACAGTAAAGAGAAACACAAACTGACATTTGTTTCAGTAAAATACAGAAAATTCTGCTTAAAAACGACAAAACACAAAGAAAACCAGCACCAAAAAAGCAGAAATGTCCCAGTGTTTTATTTTGAAAATCTGGTAGAAAGACAAATTAGTGATTAAGGAATTACCAAAGTAACTGAGTATGTTACAAAATGCACTTTAAAGCAAATGATAAGTATTTTTAAGTAAAAACATTTATCCAAAACCAGTGACTTGTCTCAGTTTTATACAAGAAATGTCCCAGTGTCTCTATTTTAAATCAATTTTATCCCTGACAACAGTAAAGAGAAACACAAACTGACATTTGTTTCAGTAAAATACAGAAAATTCTGCTCAAAAACGACAAAAGCACAAAGAAAATGTGACTAAACTGAGTCATGTTTTAGTCATAAATGGACCAGGTGCAAACGAGGAACGTCCCAGTGTTTTATTCTGAAAATCTGGTCAAGTAGAAATGACCAAAGTAACCGAGTATGTTACAAAATACACTTTAAAACAAGAATTTAGTATTTCTAAGTAAAAACATTTATACAAAACCACTGAGAAATGTCCCAGTGTCTCTATTTTTAATCCATTTTATCCCTGACAACAGTAAAGAGAAACACAAACTGACATTTGTTTCAGTAAAATACAGAAAATCTGCTTAAAAACGACAAAACACAAAGAAAATGTGATTGTACTGAGTCATGTTTGTGCCGAGGGGAGAACAGGAGTTTGGTAATTATTACCAAACACCACAAACCAGGGACGTCCCAGTGTTTTATTTTGAAAATCTGATCAAGTACAAGAACCAAAGTAACCAAGTACATTACAAAATACACTTTAAAACAAAAATTTAGTATTTTTATTTGTAAAAACATTTATACAATATCACTGATTTGTCCCAGTTTTATACAAGAAATGTCCCAGTGTCTCGTCTCTATTTTTGATCAGTTTTATCCCTGACAACAGTAAACAGAAACAGAAACTGTCATTTATTTCAGTCAAATCTGCTTAAAAACAACAAAACACACAAAAAAATGTGATTAAACTGAGTGATGTTTGTGCCGAGTTCAGAACAATTTTCCTTAATTATTTCCAAACACCACAAACCAGAGACGTCCCAGTGTTTTATTTTGAAAATCTGATCAAGTAGAAGAACAAATGTGATTAAACAAATGTCAGTTTATTTTTCTCTTCACTGTTGCAGGATCAGATTTGTCCAAAATAGAGACACTGGGACATTTCTTTTATAAAACTGAGACAAATCAGCGGTTTTGTGTAAATGTTTAATGTGTTATAAATGTGCTTTAGTCATTTCTACTTGATCAGACTTTCAAAATAAAACACTGGGACGTCCCTGGTTTGTGGTGTTTGGTAATAATTACCAAACTCCTGTTCTCCCCTCGGCACAAACATGACTCAGTTTAGTCACATTTTCTTTGTGTTTTGTCGTTTTTAAGCAGATTTTCTGTATTTTACTGAAACAAATGTCAGTTTGTGTTTCTCTTTACTGTTGTCAGGGATAAAATGGATTAAAAATAGAGACGAGACACTGGGACATTTCTTGTATAAAACTGGGACAAATCAGTGATTTTGTATAAATGTTTTTACTTAGAAATACTAAATTCTTGTTTTAAAGTGCATTTTGTAACATACTCGTTACTTTGGTCATTTCAGAATAAAACACTACGTTTCGTTTGCACCTGGTCCATTTATGACTTGACTCAGTTTAGTCACATTTTCTTTGTGTTTTGTCGTTTAAAGCAGATTTTCTGTATTTTACTGAAACAAATGTTTTGTGTTTCTCTTTACTGTTGTCAGGGATAAAATGGATTAAAAATAGAGACTGGGACATTTTTTGTTTTGTATAAATGTTTTTACTTAGAAATACTAAATTCTTGTTTTAAAGTGCATTTTGTAACATACTCAGTTACTTTGGTCTCGTTTTTTTTTTTGTTTTTTTTTTGTTACTTTTGGTCTCTTTTGATCAATTTTATACCTGCAACAGTAAAGAGAAACGGAAAGTGACATTTGTTTCAGTAAAATACAGAAAATCTGCTCAAAAACAACAAAACACAAAGAAAATGTGACTGGACTGACTCACATTAGTCATGAATGAGTTGAGTACAAAATAATTTTCCTTAATTACACTCTCGATTTACAACTGTATTATTACCAAACACCACAAACCAGAGACGTCCCAGTGTTTTATTTTGAAAATCTGATCAAGTACAAGAACCAAAGTAACTGAGTACGTTACAAAATGAACTTTAAAGCAAGAATTTAATATTTTTAAGTAAATATATTTATCCAAAACCACTGATTTGTCCAACTTTTATACAAGAAATGTTCCAGTGTCTCTATTTTTGACCAAACTGATCCTGCCAACAGTAGAAGAGAAACATAAACTGACATTTGTTTCAGGTAAAATATAGAAAATTCTGCTTAAAAACAACAAAACACAAAGAAAATGTGACTAAACTGAGTGATGTTTGTGCAGAGTACAGAACAATTTTCCTTAATTATTTCCAAACACCACAAACCAGAGACGTCCCAGTGTTTTATTTTGAAAATCTGATCAAGTAGAAGAGCCAATAGTGAACTTTAACACAACTATTTAGTATTTTTAAGTAAAAACATTTTCAGGGCATCACTGAGAGTCATTTAAAGGTGTTATATGACACAAAATTCACTCCAGTGAGATTTAAATCATCTTCTAATGTTGTTCCCTCCTCAAAAACAGAACTTGTCTTCTGTCCTGGAGTCCTGGAGTCCTGGAGTCCTGGAGTCCTGGAGTCCCGGAGTCCCGGAGTCCCGGAGTCCTGGAGTCCCGGAGTCCTGGAGTCCCGGAGTCCTGGAGTCCCGGAGTCCTGGAGTCCTGGTCCCGGCGAACATCCAGGGATCTTGCTGAACAT